GTTGTTTTAACAGTTAAAAAAAAACGATCGTGGCACAAGAAAACAATTTGATAACTAGCGCGATTCAATAGAATTTATTCAAAAAGAAGAAAAAAAGGAATCTCTATACAAAAAAAAAAAAAAAAAAAAAAAATAAAGATGTTTTTGATCGATTGTTTCAAAAAGAAAGAAAAAAAAAGAAATATTTAAAAACAAATTCAAACATCTATCTATTCATCTAGCTAACCATCCATCTACTCATCTAAGTATCCATCTATCTATCTATCTATTGACCCGAGGCATTAAACTATTAAACAGAAGCGTCGACCCTCGTCGGTTTTTGATGAACCCCGAAATAATATCTCAACACGGACTATAATTATATAACTACGTATATACATCTAATTTGTTTAAAATTATGTTTTTTTTTTTTTTTTTTTTTTTTTTTTCAAAATCAATAGGAACGATTATTATTATTATTATTATTAGAGTTATTAGCATCATCATTATCGTGCCGTTGAAAGAAAGAGAGAGAGAGAAAAACGTTTGTTATTGTTTGTTTAACAAAAAAATTTTTTGCCAGGGCTGACATTTATTTTTCTAAAGTCCAAGAGGAAAATTGAAAGAAACCGAATAAAAAAAAAATGAATTCCAATAAAAAAAAATGATGGAAGGAAAGCCCCCCAGGAATTCAACGAACACCCGTTCGTTTTTGTCCTTTTATAAAAAAAAAAAAAAAAAAAGAAGGATAATTAAGGTTTGAAAAAAAAAACCTTGGGGGCTCAATACTACGATTTGGATCCCTTTTAAATTATAAATACGTGAGCAAAATCAAAACCCAAAAAAAAAAAAAAATTTCCAACTTGATTTTTATCATTTTAAGTTTCTCAGTGCCCCCAAAAAAATAATAAAATTTTTAAAATTTTTCAATCTCACCACCACCCCAACCCTCCCCCACCTCCTCCGTGAATAACTGGAGAATTTTTATTTTTCCTTTCCCCCAAAAAAAATTATTATAAATTCAAGTAGCTTCAACGAATCCACCATCATGTTTTGTTGTTTCCCTCGGGAAAATCGTCAGTTTAAAAATAAAATAAAATAAACCTGGAGGGTCCCCAAGATTTTTTTTTAAGGTTGGGTTAAGATTTTCAAAAACCAGGTTTTTAAAATTGTTAATAATAATAATAATAATGATAAAAAAGCCTTAAGGTTTTTTTCCCTCCCTCTCTTTCTCTCTCTCTCGTATTATGCATATCCGGTATTTTTTGTATGTGAAACGAAAAAGATCCGCATAAATTTATTTAATTATTATTATTATTATTATTATTTAAAAAGTTTTCCAGGTATTTGTAAAAAAGGTTCGTCACGAATGTCCGGAGTGGAAGGGGGAAATGACGGGGGGAGGGGGAAGCTCGGTAAAAATTTTTAAACGAGAGACTCGAAATCGAATCGGTTGTAAACCTTTTTACAAATGATAATTTAGGAGGAGTAAGAGTAGGGGTAGGAGAGCAGGAGCAGAAGCAGACGACGACGACGACGACGATTCCAATTTCGTGTTCGATAATAAAACGTTAGCGAAAATAAATAAATAAATTTCTAAACGTTAGCAAAAAAATCCCGATTAAAATCAACCTCGAAGCAATTATTTCAAAACGTTCGCGAATATATAAATCTACGTACGTATACACGTCGTTTAACGATTTGTTTTTTTTTTTTTTCCAAAGCTTCTGGAAATCGTAAAAAAAAAAAAAAAAGTTTGAATATCATTAAATCCAAGAAGAAAAAAAAATGACGGCAAAATATTCGAACAGGTTGCTGGAGAAAAAGGATAAAAAAAAAAAATTTCAAAGATTGTGGAAAAATTTTTTTCCTTTTTTTTTTTTTGTAACGAGTTTTAAATTTCAGGTTTTTTTTTTTTTTTATTGATTTCATTCGAATGTTTTTTTCTTTTTATAAAATTAATGCATTAAAATAAAAATTATTAAAAAATTTATGTTATTTATTTATTTATGTAAAAAAAAAGAGTAATAAAAAATTATTAACCGGAAATAAATCTATAAGCGTAATTTCAGAAAAATATTTTTTTTTCATCTCATTTTTCTTTTTTGCATATCATTATCATCATCATCATCATTATCATTATTATTTTATTACTTTTGTTTTCTTATTTATGTATAGTAAGTCATTATTTTTTTATGTACATAAATCTATAAGTATTAAATAATTAAAAAAAAAAAATGTCGGAGAAAGAAAAAAAAGGAAAACAATTCTATTGTGAAAAAGTTTAAATAATTTTCTTTTTTTTATTTATTAATAAATTATAGTTATTATTACGTTTTTGGTAATAGTTTTAATAATAATAATATTAATGGCGACTTTGTTTTGTTTTTTATAACGATGAGTTATTATTATTATTATTATTATTATTATTATTATTATTATTATTATTATTATTGTTAACCGGTTTCCGTAAGAAGACAAATTATGGAATTTTCGAGTAAAAAAAAAATTTTGTGATAATTATTATGTATGTATATATATAGATAAAAGATAATAAAGATTTTTTTTTTTTTAGTATAATTCAGATGCTATGATTATGTTTATATGTTTAAAAAAAAAACACAATCGTTAATAATAATGTTTAACATAATTATGTTGACGATAAAAAAAAAAAACGGTTTTTTTGGTACGGATCGAATACGTGGTTGATTTTTTTTTTTTTTTTTGTCACGCGTTTAACGTACAAAATAATAATGATAATGATGATGATAAAATTCGATAAACATAATGAAATAATGTTATGTTTTGTTTTAATCAACCGACCGAAGAAAAACACGATTTGAAACAATTATAAAATGGCCGACATGTTTTTTTTTTTTTCATTAAATGTGAATTTTTTTTTTTTTCGAAGGAGGAGTTTATTTATTAATTAATTAATTAATAAATTGTCATTGATCAATTTCGTGTTTGTCTGCGTTTGTTTTATTCTAACAGAAAACAAAACAATCCGTAAAGTGCTATAAGTCATAGAGATAAAAAACAAACGGAAATGGAAAAACACAAAGAAAAACAAAAAATTTGATTTTTGTGATTTAACACCGCAATCGATCTCTTTTTAAAATTCGCATCGTTTATTATCATTATTATCATTATTATTATTATTATTATCATTATTATTATTATTGTTATTGTTTAATAAAACATTTTTTACACACACACACACACACGTCGTAATTAAGAATGAAAAACATAAACATAAACAAAAAAAAGAAACCAATAACCGCACATAAAAGAGAGACAAGCCGCTTCATAGTTGAATGAATTCTCTCTCTTTCTCTTTTCTTCTCTCATTCATTCACTAACTCCCTGACTCTATCTCTCTCTTTCTCTCTCTATTTTTTTCTGGATAAATAGATATTAAATTGTCTTCAGTGAAGCAGAGAAGATGAGTGCTGAGTAAATGTTTGCCCGGCTATACAATTCCCTCCCCATCTGTTCAGATTTAAAAAAAAAAAAATTTTTTCGGTTTGTTTTTGTTTGTTTGTTTGTTTGTTGTTTGAAGAACGTTCTAAAGATTACTTTTAATAAGTGACTCTTAACTCTGCAAAATTATTTTCATATTTAATATTTTTTTTTTTTTTGTGGAAAAAAAATTTCTTTTGCGATTCTTTGTCGCTATCGACTTTAACCCCTTCCCCTCCCGCCTTTTCTTTTTCGAAAATGGACCCGACACGAAACAAACAAACAAAAAAAATCGAAGAGATATTTATTTGGTTGTTTGTTTCGTTCGTAACGTACGCGATGAAGAAGAAGAAAAAAAAAGGATTTGCGTGACGCGTAAATAATTTTTTTTCTTATAATTTTAACGCCTCCAGTGGCAGATTGTTTTGTTATAAAAACAACCGTATTATATAATTCTGGAAGTTAAAAAATCCCGCGATCCGTGATATATATTCATTGATAAGAAAACAAAAAAAAAAAAAATTTTTTTCAATATCCCCGAAAGCAAAAAAAAAAAAAATCCGGTTGTTGTTGGGATTTGATCGCGAGTGCGATCGCGCGTGCGAAAAAAATAAGAAAATTTGAAATCTGCGCACGCGTGCGTGCGTAATAATAATCACGCACGTTTTTCAAAATATAGCACAAGGCCTGCTCCGAACGTTTTACTTATTAATAATAATAATAATTATAATAAAGCTGTCGTGGTTGTTGTCGTTGTTAAAAAAAAAACAAAAAACAGATGTAATCGTGTGTGTGTGTGCGTGTGTTTGTTTGTATGTGTTTGTTAAGTCGTCAAACAACATAACTATACACGTTAGATTTTTTTTCTTTTTTTGTATGCAACGGATTATGAACGTTTAAAAAATTGATAAGAAAGATAAAAACAAAAATTACCGGAATGGAACTGAATTTTCTGTAAAAACACAAAACGCACGAAAAACGAGTCGAAGAAACTTTTTTTTTAAGGCTATAATAATAATAATAAAAACATCTGCTATATAACACTACAAATTATTATGATAATAATAATAATAATTAAGTCAAGTGAAAAAATAGGCGAACGTCACGTTCGCTTTAATAAATACCGGAAAGAAAAAAAAAATCATTCTCTCTCTCTCAATCTCTCATCACTTTTGTACCTTCAGTTGAAAAACAAACGCGATTTATAACGAATCAAATCGTATGATTATAGTTTATATGAAATTTTCCTTTACCCCCCACCCCTCGCACTCCATTCCTCCCCGTTTCTTCTCCGGAAAATGGCACAATTCGAAGGATTTTTTGTCATTTTTTTTTTTTTGCTCTCGTTTATTAAAATCGAGATTCATGTGTAAATTATAGTATTTGACAAAAAACCCCTTAAACTATATAGTTAACGTGTTATTATTTGGTAGCAAAACTATCATTTCATGGTTTTAAATTATACTCTTTCTCTCTCTTTCTATCTCTATCTCTATCTCTCTTTTTTTTTATTTTGACATCTGTATTATTTATGTGTTAAAGTATAAAAAAATTTTAAAATGATTTTCGTTTGTTTAACAACAATCGAACGAAACTTTATTTATTTATTTATTTATTTTTTACTTCATGATAATGATATTAATATTGTGACGTCATAGAATTTTACGGTAGTCCACAAATCGCATTAAATTCCATGACGTAATTAAGAATAAATAAATAATTCGATTGAAACCCAAAAAAAAAGAAAAATTGTCGTTGGTTTTATTTTAAACGCGCGTAAACAAAACAAAAACGAAAAAATTTCGATAAAATCGCAAAGAGTAAAAAATTTGAAGGAAAATTCAAAAAGGCGGATGATAATGATGATGATGATGATGGCGGTGGCGGTGGCGGCAACGTCTAACAGAGTTTTTACGATTAAAAATGCAATTAAATAAATAATTAGTCATAATCATCATCATCGTCGTCGTCGTCATTAGTATTATTATTATTATTATTATTATTACGGTTGTTTACTTATTTATATTAATTTCAGTTATTCGTTTCCGGTCAGACGACAACGGGAACTTCGCCGCCACTCGGAACGAGCGTAAGTTCTTTAAGCCCTGGAAGCAGTAGCGCCGGAGTTGCACCCGGAGCGATTTCTCCTAATGGAAGCACGGCGGCGGCGGCGGCGGCTCCCGGTCCAGGTTCGACCGCAAGCGGGACGTCATGCTGCGAAAATGGCAAACCGACTATTACGGATCCCGTATCGGGACAAACCGTTTGTTCTTGCCAATACGATTCGGCAAGATTGACTTTATCATATCCGAGATTGCCGACGTCTGGAGTCGGCGTTTACGGTGCCCCGTATCCATCGACGGACCAAAATCCTTATCCTAGCATTGGAGTAGACAGTTCTGCGTTTTATTCACCTTTGGTAAGTTTTCCTTCTTCTTACTTTAATTACCCCCCGTAATAATTATAATTAAAATTAATTTCGACAATTAAACGAATTAATGTTTGTAAAGGGAAAAAAAAAAGAAAAAAAAAACATGTCCGATCGAATAACAACTACTTATACATTCACTTCCTTCGCCCGCCCGCACGCACGCACGCACACACGCACACACCTACCTTTTAAATCCATTCTTTTGTTTCTTTCTCATTGGTCAAAAAAGACGCCATTTAAAAAAAAAAAGTTTCTCTTCTTTTCTCAGTTTTTTTTCTCTCCCCCTTTCTCTCTCACACTTTCGGAAAAAATTGATGACGATACCAAAAATTTCATTCAAACAATTATCATTATTATTATCGTTGTTAATTTTCGGTTACTTAAAACAATGAGCATCATCATCATCATCATCCGTAATTTTTTTTAATAATATTTAAAAATAATTAAAAAACAAAAAAAAAAAATTTTTTTTGTTTTATAATTTCACAATGTAATTTTGTAATTATGAAAATTATTAAAAAAAAATTAAACGACCTGTAATAATAATAATAATAATAATGATAATAATAATAATGCGTTCCGTGATAAACAAAGCAGAATAATAATAATAATCATAATAGTAGTGCCAGGGAGAAAATCATATCATGGAATTTGTTTTCCCAAAAAAAAAAAAAAAATTTTTTTTCACTTCCTCCTCCTATTCCTCCTCTTCCTCGTCCTCCTTCTCTTCCTCTTCCTCCTTCCCTTCCTCCTTCTTCTGCTCCTCCTCTCCTCCTCCTACTCATCTTTTTTTTTGTTGTTTTCCAGTTTGTTTTACTTTTAATAATTGTTACTTTTGTTATTTTTCTTAACATTAATTTTTTTTTCTTTTGCGGAAAGTGAACAACGAAATATTTAAATATGGCCGACAAAAAACTTTAATTTTGGAAAAGAATATAAAAAGGTGCAACAAAGAAATTCTCTTTCTTTTTCTCTCTCTCTACGAGACCGTTAAAGAAAGATAGTTAAAAAAAGAACGAACGAACAAACAAACGATACCGAAAGTTTTTAAAAAAAAAAAAAAAAAAGGGGGTATTACAAAGATGTAACCCTTTGATACGACCGATACCATTTCAGGTGCCAACATGATAAAATTAAAAAGAGAAGATAAAAATTGTGGTCGATGGTACAACATTTTTTTGTACCACCACCACCACCACCATCACTTTTTCCATCTTCTTCTTCTTCTTTTACGTCACCACCACCACCACCACCACCATCATCATTACAATCGTTCATGTTTTTTTTTTTTTTTAAAAAGTTTTTAATTGACGCGACGGTTTTTTTTTCTTCTTCTTTCATCCGTCTGCCATTTTTTTTTTCTTTTCTTCTGTTAAATACAGTTGGTGAGCAATAAAAAATTAAACAATTGACGAATGTTGTAAAGAGCAATACAAACAACCGTGCGTGTGCGTTTTCATTCGCATGCAACGCATATGCGTAACAACGCATTTTATTTTATTGCATTTCCTTTTGTTAATTAACGTTTTTCTTTTATTTATCATCATTATTATCATTATTATTATTATCACGTAGGAGATTTTCACGTGTGTTCAACTTTTTTCCCGCAACATTTTCCAACTACGTTTTAATAATAAAAAAAAAAAAGTCTCCCATATGGTTTTTTCACTCGTTTATTATTACTCCATTAACAGTAAAAAAATTTATCGGCGTAAAAACGCGGCGTAACTTAACAATACCTAATCCGCCCACCACCTGTAACCTCCTGTATATACCTGAATAATTTTAATTAATATGCAATTATTAAACTTTTTTTTTCTTTTATTACGAATGATAATAATAACAACTTTAAAAAAAAAAAATTAAAATGGCGGCGAGAGTTTTCTTGTTAAAATGCGAATCAATCGTCATGATTTTTTTATATAATAATAATAATAATAATAATAATAATATTTACAAGTATAATAGTTAAGGTGGTATTAAATTTTTTTTTGTTATAAAAAAAAGAAAAGAAAAGAAAAGAAAATTTGAATTTTAAATTATAATTAAAATAGGTCGCGCGTTTTTTTTTTTTTTTATTAAATTGCGCGCGCCCACCTTTTCACATAAAAAAAAAAAAAATTATAATGAATGAAATTATGTAAAACATTTAAATACATATATAAACATTTATGTTACTTAATGTTAAAAAAAGCGAAGGGGGGAAAACGGGGAGACGGGGGGCGAGTGTAATTTTTTTTATATACGAAAACCGGTTTTTCACTACAAAATTTATAAATTATTTTAATTATAATAATAATAATATTTAAATAGGAAATAAAAGAGGGAAATTTTTTTTTATTAAGGGTTAAAAATTTCCCTTACCGCCCCCCTCTCACCCCACCCCATTCTGTCTTCTCCTCCTTACGAAAGGTGGGGGGAGGAAATTTATAAAACGTGAAAGGTTTGAAAACGTTCGCAAACAACAACAACAACAACAAACGTTCGAGATTCGAGAAAAAAAATGAAAATGTACGAAAATCACGCTAGTTTTTTTTTTTTCTTCTGCTACGATTAAAATGTTTTTTTTTTTTTCATTTCGATTTCGTGTTAAAAAGATTCGACACGCAAAATTTTTGAGTATTAAGCCGCTAACGGGTCGTGTCGGTAAAACGCGAACGTTTTTTTTTTTTTTTTTTTTTGAATCTCGAACGGATATTTAAATGGGGGGACCGTAAGTTGGGTAGTTGGAAAAATTTTTTGTAAAGTGCAAATAATCCTCGTCGTCTGCTTTAGCGCCGTATCTGAGATATAATTTCAACTGTCATAAATTCATCATTCTAACATCTCTCTCTCTCTCTTTAACTCAACGTCGTTATCATCATCATCATCATCGTCATAATAATTTGAAAAAACTTGTTTTTGGCTGATATCCCCTTTGCGACCGACATCTGCACTTTAATTTGTACCTATTTTTTAACAAAACTATTAATATACATTTTCCAATCACATACACGCACGCACACACTCGGCTCTAAGGCACAGGCACACACACACACACACACACACACGCAGACGATGGACATGTGCGTTTATAGGTTGACATGAATGCCCATCTGAATATCAATGAGTTTCTTTTAAATCATCCCTTTCGTTTTTTTTTTTTTTTTTTTTTTTTGTGTCTTTGGGGGGCCAACCTAATTTTTTTTTCTCTCTCTCTCTCTTTCTGACTCCCGATCAGGAGTCACTAATAATTATTATAATTATGTAAACGTGTGTAAGTGCGTGAAAAGCACCTGCCAACCTTACGAGATTAGATAACTCGAATAATATTAATATAATAAATTTTATTTATTCATTAAAATATTATCATCCGGTTCAATATCCGCTTCTTCTTTCTCCCCGTTTTTGTTTCCGTCGTGTCCTTACGCGCGTTTTTTTTTGTTCGAATTACGCGTGCGTTTTTATTATATTAGGATAAAATAATTATTATTTAAAAAATCGATCCGTTGATAAAACTTAATCGAAACGGTGGTGATAACAGGATAGATACCGGATATTTGTTTATAATTAATTATTATTATTATTTACATTCGATTTGCGATGATTTCCGATTTACTTTTCGAAACTTGTTTTTCTTTCTCCCCTTCTACGGTTTCCCCCTTCAATTTATCCACCTCTCCCCTCTCTCCCCCACATCTTAAATTTTGTGGATTTTTGATGAAATTAACGCGTCAATAATTAATAATTTATATTGTTGTTGTTGTTGTTGAGAAGAAAAAAAAACTCCAATCACGATTTTTATTTAAATTCATTCACGATTTCCCATACTGTCGCCATTTTTATTTTTTTTTCTGGTTTCTTTTGCAAAAAAAAAACGACATTAAATTTTATGCGTACGAACATCATTTTCGTGAGTAATAAAAATTCACGCTCTATAAAAAAATTTCATTTCAAAAAAAAAAAAAAAAAAAACAAACAAATAAAAATTATTATTTTTATTTTTTTCCAAATTTACTTCCGTCCCTCCGTCCCCATCCTCTCCCTCCTCCTTTCCTCACCTTCTCCCACCACCACCACCCCCTTCAACACTCGGAAATTTACCGCTTTACGCAAATAAAAAAAATTCAAATAAACGAAAGAAAAATTTTTCTTTAAAAACGATAACGTTTGTATAGTAGTAACAAAGTTTATAAAGGGTAAAATCAAGGCCCTTCCCAGCCCCCCATCCCCTCCCCCTCTCACCACCCGGACAACCTCGTGTAATTATAGCAGACTCTATATAGTAGTCAACCATTGACTCCTTCCTTGGCTTGTCTCCCACTTAAATCGTGATAATATATTGAATCTTTTCTTATTTTCTTTTATTTATTTATTTAAACATTTTAAAATTTATTACATAAAAATTTCGTGGTATTAGTTAAAAAAAAGAAAAAACGCAATATTTATTTAATTTTAAATAAATAAATAAATAAAAATTTATTAACTTAAATTTATTATACGGTCTGACAAATGAAACGTTAAAAAAAAAAAAAAAAATTTATTCGCGGTGTATATAAGAAAGAATGAAAAAGTAAATAAATATGAGTGTGTGAGTGCGTGCGTGCGTGCGCGTGCGAATGCGTATATGCGTGTAAATAATAATAATAATAAGAACAAAACGAAAAGAAAATTTGTTTTTATGTTTTTTTATGCGCTTTTTTTATAATTCGATGTTGTTGCCCCCGAACGAAAATTAAAAAATTACATACTACGAAGAGGGGGAAGGTGGTGGTGGGAATGGAGGAGGTTGGGTTAGGGGAGGGAAGAGAAAGAAAGGAGGAGAAAGTATGGCAAAAAGAAAAAAGAGGAAAAATATGGAAAATTGTGTGTGTATGTGAATGCAAAGAGTGAAAGTGTTGAAAAAAGTTTTTTTTTCCGAAGAGAAAGTATTAAACAATTCAACTTGTCTTCTGCTAAAGCGAATAAAATAATATATATGTATGCGTGTGAGTGTGCGTGAGTGTGCGTGCGTGCGTGTGCGTGAGTATAAAAGATTTCAAACTTGGGGGTTTTTTTTGTCGACCCTTTTTCTCCTTTTTTTCCTTTTTATTCTTTTTAGATGAAAAAAAATAAACTTTCCTGCCCTTTTTTTTTTCACTTTTATTTGACGATTTGCAAGTTTATTGAAACATTGAAGAGAAGAAAAAAAAAGTTTTCCTTTTTACACCCCTTCCCCCTCTCCCCTCTTTTTCTTTTTTTATTTTCTTATTTATTTTTTTTTTTTTGGGAGGGGGGTAACTTTTAAAAAACGTTATTAACACTTTATGAGAGTGTGAGAGAAAGAGAAAAAAAAAAGGAAAACAATCGATAATGTTTATTTATGTCGACGATTTGTTTTTTTCCTTTTTTTTCCTTTTTTTCCTTTGTTACCCACCGTATATATAACACCTCACTGACTAATAAATGAAAGGAAAAAAAAGCGTTAATGATAATAATAATAGTCGTAAGAGAAAAAAAAACACGCGAGTATGTGCTCGTATTCTTTTGTGTGAAAAAAGAGTATTATTATTATTATTATTGCTGAAGTTTCAAAACTTTTTTTTTGCAATATTTTTTCTCTCTCCCCTCCTCTCTCTTGAAGGGGGAGGATTCGGGGGGATTCGAAACTTTTTTCTGTTTTGGCATGCATCTTCTAAACATTCATTACTCGCTACAATTAATATCACGATTCGTCTAAGCTCCATTCGCCTAGAGAAAAAGGAAAAGTTTTACATGATGATAATAATAATAATAATAATAATAAAAAACTTAACGCACTAGTAAGTCAACGGCTGGAAAAAAAAATTGTGAGGAAAAGATAAAAAAAAAGAAAAAAAGAAAAAGAAGAAAAATGCGAAAAGTAAAAAAAAAAAAATAAAAATAAAAAAATAAAAATTTTTTTCCTCCATTTTCCTCGGTTTCCGTTCCTTGCCCTACATTTCCGGTGAATTTGTGAAGAAATGAACTGTCTAACTCGCAATAAATAATATTATATAATAAATATATTATTCGTGAAAAAAAATAAAAATGTATTAATATTGTTAAGAAAAGAAAAAGAGAAAATAAAAATAAATAAATAAAAAAAAAGAAAGAAACGAAAAAGGGCTATTGTGCATGAAGAGGGTTAATGGAAACACAAAGCGAAAGGGCGGCAGCAAAAGCAGCAGCAGCAGCAACAACAGCAACCGCACCCCCCCGGTTTCCCCTCTCAGCTCTCCACACACACACGCACACACACTTGAAACTTTTTTCCACCTTATTTTCATTCTGCAGGAATGACTTATCCGACATCATTTTTTTTTCTTTCACGTTTTTTTTTATTCTCCTTCAAATTTTTTTTCGTGTTTGTTTGTTTCCCGAAAGAATAGTTTAGCACTCGTTGTTTAAATAAATGTTTTCTGCAGCAGAAGACGACGGCGGATGAGAAAAAAAAATGTCGGATTTCATCGCAGATTTTTTTTTTTTTAAAATAATTTTTATCCCGTTACGCGCGTAACGACGTATCGCCGTAGTTGTTGTTGTTGCTGTTGTTTTTCGCCAAAAAAACAAAACAAAACGACTGTTGCCTTGCTGCGTTTGTACGTGCGCGTCATTTTCAAATCTCGTATCGATCATGAAATAACGAAAACTTGTTATTCCCATTCTGCAGGATGTGGGTTTTTTTATATAAAAAGATTTTGCGTACGTTTTCTTCTTTTCCTAAGGGAGAGAGAGTGAGAAAGAAAGAATGAGAGAGAGAGATAGATAGATAAAGAGTTTTCATTTTTCCCCCCCTTTTAAAACCCTGCGCAGTTTAGTCAATATTTTCAACACTCGAAACTTCATTAAATTCAGATTCTTCCATATCGTGTTTTTTTATTTATATATATATTTATACCGTAATCTTTATTTGATAGTTTAACAATCGTTGTCAATCATTTTACACAAATCCTCCGATTCTTTTTTATTATTTTTTTCCTTTTTTCCTTTTATTCCATTTGGGAATTCCTTTGACAAAGAAAAATATCATTTTTTCCTTTTTTTTTTTTTTTTTTTTTTAAATTGGCACCCAAAAATCAAGAGTAGTCACGCATCGATGATCTTTAAAGAGGGTGTTTTGAAAAGTCAAAAAAAAAAAAAAAAACTCATGCAAACAAACACGATTCTCTCTCTCTCTCACTCTATCTGTCTCTCTCTTTTGATAACGCTATATCTATATAAAAAAAAAATATGGCGCGTTAACTACTATAATTTATAATAATTTAAGATTTTTTTTTTATTGTAAAGTAGTCGTAATCGTATTTATATACTAAAATGTTTTGCGTTGTTGAAAATTGAAAAAATGAAAGAGAGAGAGAGAGAGAGATGGGGAATAAAAGAAGGAAGGATATAATAAAGGAGGGGGAAGGGGGAAAAGGGAGAGGGAGGGGGAAGGAAAAGAAAAGAATTAAAATTATATTAACGCGCACCGCATTTAACTAGACTATAAACGATTATTTACAATCTCGAACCGGCATATTAATTTTTTTTTCTCCAGCGTTATAAAATCACGACGACTTGATGGTGTAATTACTGAAGAAAAAAATTTTTTTTTTTCCTTTCTGCTCTTCTCACTTCCAGATAAAGATTTAAAAAAAAAAAAAAAAACATTTTCCGATCGATTGAGTCGCGTGAAAATGACGCGGGAAAAGAATTTTTTTTTTTTTAAAAAATAAAATTCGCAACCCACGCGCGCGTTTACTACCCCCCAGCCGTACCTTCCCCCACACAATTTAAACGAACGTTCCTCTCTTATCAAATTCGAGTGTTATCAGGAAATTAAATACCGTAACGGTTTCCATGATTTTTTTTTTTTTCATAAACGTTCGCGCGTAACACAATATTACGCCGTCGTTTTTTTTCCTTTCCTTTTCTTTCCTTGACTTAAAATCAATCCATCGAAAGGGATTAAAATTTTTTTTTTTCTTTCCTTACGTTTTCCTTTCTTGTTTTAATCCTCATTATTTATTTCGATTCCTTCACTCTCCCTTTCCCTTCTCCCTCCCTCCCCTCCCTCCCTCCCTCTCTCTCTCTTTGTAAATATTTAAAATCATTTTGTAACATATCAAGCTTAGTTTTTTATAATCAATAACAATCAACCTCACGTCCATCACAATCAATCAATATTTTATTTTATTTTTTAAATACCTTAAAGATTATCTCGATTACGCAAAATAATAATAATAATAATAATAATAAATGGCGTAAAATATTTAAATAATACGCGCGTTTAAAATCCAATATGGCTGTCCATCTGTCTGTTTGTTCTTATCCGTCGTGATAAAGTTTAAACATTTTAAACATTTATCGGATTTAAAAAAAAAAAAAAAATTCATTATTTGCATAAATTCTTCAAGTATTATATTTAAATTTTGATTAATAATCTCTATTGATCGATCGATCGATCGATTGTATCGATTTTGTTATTCTCTAATAATAATAATAATAATAATAAATATATTCATATATAACGACTTCCAAAAAAAAAAAAAAAAAAATTATAAATTATTAATTTATTATCATTTTCGATTTTTTTTTTTGAATAATCGGAAAATTTTTTAATAGAAACGACCGGAAGTATAAAATTGTTATTTCCGGTTTTATGAATAGACGAAAAGTAAATACTACACGTGCGATTTTTTTTTTTTTTTTTTGAATGCCTCCATCGAGGGTTTCTTTTAACTTTAAGATTATGAGGGTGATCTTTACCTCTCACTCTCTTTCTCTCTCACTTTTTCTCTTTTTCTCTCTCTCTCTCTTCCTTTCTCTCTTTCTATCTCTGCATCTTTTTACAATCGTGTCACACGGCGATAAGCAAGTCACAAACGAATCATAAAAGAAATAATTTCTTTTTAAAAATGTTATTTTAATCATTATTATTATTATCATCATCATTGAACGATTCAACATGGCGTAGAAGTACCAACGACCGATCGACGAGTACCATTGACAAAATTTCCGTTACGATTCGATGTCGGAAATGAAAAAAAAAAAAAAAAGAACGCGTGATTTTGCAAATTTTTTCTTTTTACATAATAACAAAAATTTTTGTTTGTCGGTTTGGAATTGATTCGTTTGTCCTTGACGGTTTTTTTTTTTGTTACTCGTGTGTTGTTTGTCGTTTGTATAAAGGCGAGAAAGAACGAACGGACGGACGGATGGATGGATGGACGGGTACTTTTTTTTTTACGGTTTAATCGCCCCCCTTCCCATTTTTTTTTAAAGGTTTTATTATTGGTAATGTTAATTTAAAAAAAAAAAAAACTTGTCGGGCAGGTGCGCGACAAATGTGTATGCGTGCGCGTGCTATTGCCCATCGAACGTCATCAAACCTCATCATCAATTCTTGTTTTTTTTCTTCTACTTGCGTTCATATAAATATTTTCTGTTTGTTTTTACGATTTTCACAGGGATAAACGCGAAACGATTCGAATTCAATGGCGTCAAAAAAAAAAAAAAAACAAACGTTATTATTATTATTATTATTATTACTACTTTTTAATCATATCGATGGAGTACCTGATCCCTTTGGAATTAATTCCTGACAATGATTCTTCCTAAATCTTCCCCGAGTTTATTTTTCTTTCTGAACGGGTCACTCCAACGACAACAGCTTTCGAACAAACGCGAGATTTTTCAAAAACAAACAAATGGCGGCATAGAATAAAAGAGAAAAAAAAAATAAAAAGTTTTATTACAACAAACGTTAAAAAAAATGTTTTGTTTGTATTTTTCTGTCAGTAAATTTTTTTTTCGAAACGAATCGACGCACCTGCTTTAAAAAAAAAAAAAACTCGTACCTGTTAATTATACGGAAAAGTTGTCAAATTTTTTTTTTTTTTTTTACTAATTCCACGATTTTGAGTATATTTACACGCGCACCACATTATAATTATTATTATTAATAAATATTTTATAAATTGTTAACCGTTTGTAATTATTAAAATTATAATTATTATAGTAAAGGTGTGATAAAAGTTTGCGCATGTGCAAAAAAAAAACAACCGCAAAACAATTCACTTCCGGTTATTTTACTTTCTCGTCATTATTATTATTATTATTATTTATTTTCAGAGTAATCCTTACGCTTTAAAAGATGGCGGTTCTTCGACTGATATGTCCGCGTGGACAAGCGCCGGATTACAAACAACCCCCGGATACTACCCCTACGATCCGACACTTGCTGCTTATGGGTAAGTTTAAATTTTTTTTTTTTTTCTAAAAATTTTCCATCCGCCATCTTGCTTTATAGATTCCATTTCGATTATTTTTTTGTATAAATTTAATTGCGTATGGAAAGGTCAGAAAGGTCATTTCTCAAAAAAAAAAAAATTATAATATTTAAAATGTCAAACGCAAAAAAAACGCGCGTTTTTTACGTAACTTTACTCCCTTTTTGAAAAAAAAAAAAAGAAAATGACAAACGATTTCTTTTAACCGCATTAATATTATCCATTTTTGCAACGTCATCATTATTTATTTGTACGCCGCGTAATTAATTAATTTTTTTTTTTGTTGTCTCGACGAGAAAAAAAAAATGTCGTCGTCATTATCATAAAAAAAAAAAAAAATTCGTAATAATAATTTTTTACTATTTTTTCTCTATCGTGTTGGTTAAGAAATACGCGTAAAAAAAAAAATTGCAAATGTCGAGTAATTAAAATTATCATTATTATCATTATTTTTTTTTAATGGCAAAATACAAACAAACAAAAAAAGGGGGCAAGAAGCTACAGCTTAATTCCAATAATAATTATTACGCGACGGAAATAAAAAAAAAAATCGAAAAAAATTAACGTCGCCGTATTGTTACTTTTACGAGGGGGGAAAGGGGATGGGAGGGTTAGTGGAAAATATGAAAACAACAACAACCACGTTAACAACAGAAACGACAAACATCATATTCGTATCTTACGGTTTAACGCGTGAAAAAAATAAATTTTTTTTTTTCCCTCACACGATTAAAGAAAGGATTTGAAAGATAAAAATATTAAGAAAAAAAGGAGGTCGCATAAAAATTTCGAAACGTGGAATAAGAAGTTAATGTCGTGGTACTAACGGAGGCGGCGACGGAAAAATAAAAAAACATTTCGATAAGGGGTGTGTGAGTACCTTCTAGATTAATCGCATGACTACGAATCGCGTTCTGAATTTTTGCAATTTTTTTTTTCTAACATTTTCGAAAAAAAATTTCTAGAACCACGTTTTTTCCTCCCTTAGAAAATCGATAAATCGATTAATCGTTTTACAAAATCGAAATACTTAAAAATGTTTTCCCTGATAAAAAAAAAAAAAATTACCAAAAAAAAAAGAAAATTTTTTTCTTATTATTTTCGACGTGTAAATAACTTATTTAAAACTCTATTACCACGATGAAAAATTTTTTAAATTATTTATTTTTTTGTTTATATATTATAATATTTCCCAGGTTTGGTTTTTCTCTCTCTCTCTCTTTTCTACGAAATTAATTCGGAAATAAAGAAGAAAATTTTTTGAAAAATTACCACGAAACGTATTTCGTCTCAACGACGATACTTTATTATTATTATTATTATTATTATTATTATTAAAAATGACTTCGTTAAAACTTTTCGGTTCAAATTTATTATTATCATTATTATTATCATTACTTTAAATTATTATTAATTATCGTGATTATAATATCGTGCCGTCGAACGTGTAAGTAACAAAAAAAAAAAAAAAAAAAAAAAAAGTTTCCCTCTTCGGAAAATATCGGGGCAACAACAAGTGTTATCAAGAGATATATATATATATATATATATGTATAAACGCGATGATAAAAACAAAACGTCGAAAAATTTTCTACATTTTCCACGGGGGAACGGAAAATTAAAATAATAATAATGATAATAATAATAATTAAAACCTATGAGAATAAAGAGGAGAACCAACGACGATCATTTTTCAAAATTAAATAAAAAACTTTTTCGAACGTTGACAAAAAAAAAACGACGACACGATAATCGTGAAAGTGAGCGAGAGAGAGAGAGAGAGAGAGAGAGAGAGAGAGAGAGAGAGAGAGAGAGAAAGAAAATGTCTACTGATTTTCTTTTTTTTTAATAATAATAATAATGAAGTGGTAATGGAAAGTTCTTAAACGTTGGAAAAAAATTTTCAGTTTGAAACAAAACAGTAATAATAATAATAACGACGACGACGACGAAGATGTTTTCGTCGTTGTTGTCGGTGATGATGATGATGATGATAAAGATGATGACGACGGACGATAATAATAATAATAATAATAATAAATAAAATTCCCGACGGTGTAATAATCGAGGCCGTGAAGTTTATTTAATAAGTACATATTACACAAACATTATGGAAACAAAAAAATTATAAATTGTTGTAAACAACATTTTAAGTTATAACCAGAGAAAAGAAAAAAAGGAAAAATTGATGATTGTTATGTGATTTATACGTGTTTGTGTGTGGTGTGTGTGCGCGTGTCTTTTTATTTCGTAATGAATATAAATGAAATGTTGACCACTTAAACAGTGTCAGCCATTAAATAAAAAAATGGCGTCGGATAAGTTAGTAATTGAAATCGTCGTGTTTTTTTCTGTCTTTCTTTCTTTCTTTATTTTTTTTATACAAATTTTTTACGAATTCTACAAAAAAAAAAAAAAGATGGGTGTGCACGCACGCACGCACGCATTCATTAAAAAAAAAAAAAAATGCGTAAGAAAATCCGATTTGTCACTTTTTTTTTCTTTCAAGTTTTCCAACGAAAGAAAAAAAACCTTGAAAATTTATTCGACGGTTAACAATAAATCACAACCGAAAAAAACACCCAACGAAAAAGGCGGAACTCGTAAGAAAAAAAAAACGACAAACGACAAACGACAAACTACGACGACGAAATTTTCTAAAATTCGATTAGGTGATGAAAATTTACACTCACTATCGGAGCATAAAAATTGTGAGAGATAGAAAGAGAGAGAGAAAGAACGATATCATATTAAAAGGAGAAGGAAAAGAAACAAACAAACAAACAATACGCATGCGTACAACCATATCCGTTTGTCGTACAATCGAATCTCAAATAATTTTTCACAAAAAAAAAAAAAATTTAATTTTTTACGCAGAAAACTTTGAATATATTATATAACCGTCGTGTAAAAACAAACAAACAAACAAACGCAACAAACAATCGTTTAAATTTGTACGCATATCTTTTTAAATCTTATATTCGTTATTATTATTATCATTCGTTTGTTGGATTTTTTTTTTTGTTAAATAAGTCGGTTGAGAATTTGATTATAATCACAAAACAACCACAAACACGTTCGTTCGTTGGTTTATTTTCCCAAACGATTATTATTTATCATTGTTAATAACGTTCGATATGAGCAATGATTGATTGATTGATTGATTGATTGATCGGAATGCTTCGAGAATTTTTTTTTTTTTTGGTACAAATCCAGATTTCGTTTTTTTCTTACTCATATCGAACGCCACCCACTTGATCGCCCTAAAGACTTTTTTTTTTTTTGACAACAAAACACAAACGAACGCAACAACAACAATAACAACTTGATTATCCGGTTGTTTTTAAATAAGTTATTATCTATCTATCCGCCCTAGATTTCTTCAGTACCTCCTCCTCCTCCACCACCTCCTTAACTATTAAAACTATTATAGTCACGTATAAACCGACCGAAACAAAACGTATTTTCAAACGAAACCTGCCGTTTGTCGTGGTAGTAGCAGAATATTTTAGTAGTCGAATTAATATAAAATCTTCCTTCGGGTTGTTGAAGTTTCGAGGGGATTTTTTTTTCCTTTTTTGAAATCCTTGACGATTATTTCAAAAAAAAAAATCCGGTAACCGGTTTTCCAGTTTTTTTTCTCCATATCAATCATCGTATCTTTGTTAATTTACAAAATGCCAAAGTGTTTGTTGTCCCGTTCGTGAATCGATCAATCGATCGATCCATCGATCGATTGTTTTTTTTTAAAAAAAAAAAACGTGGTAATAACCGATAATACGAAAACGATTACGTTACTCGTGTGGTAATCGGTACAATTAAAGAACGCAAACGTTTTTCCTATTTTATTATTATTATGCAGTGATAGAAAATTCTTGGAAATTACTGATGGAAAATGGATTGTCCGTGTCATTAAATTCGATAATATCTAATGACACGACCGAACGGGGGAAGGGGGGTGAATGATAAAATTTTTACGAAAAATACACATCGCATGTTTGATTTTGTTTTAAACAATTTTCCAGGTGGGAAAATTCCATTTTTTTTTTCTTTTGATTTTTTTTTTTTGTTTTGTTCTGTTTTGTAAACGAAGTGGTAATAAATAATAATAATAATAATACCGAGATGGTAATTATTTAAATAACTCAAGGGAACGTCCAATCAGTTTTTTTTTATTCTTCTTTTTCTTTTTCTTCTGCTTTTTTTTTTTTTTTTTTTTTTTTTTTTAATAACAAAAAAAAAAAAAACGAAAGCCGAGAATTAATTAATATAATTTATAACTTCCGGTAATTTATTTCGAGGGGGGAGTCCCGTACGTCGTCTGCTTATTCCCTAACAAAACCATAAAAAAAAAAAAATTTCTTTTTTTTTTTTTAAGGCGTTTCAACATAATCTTCACCTTCGATTTTTATTATTTTTTTTATTCGCAATTTTAAATTTAAAAAAAAAAAAAAAAACAAAAACAAAAACAAACGAAGAATCACGATCACAAGTACGGGAAGTGGGAGGAGCGGTGGAAAGGAGAGGGAGGGACAAAGGGTGGGGAAAGGGGGAGGAGAAGGAGAAAAAGTTTTAAAAAACAAAAAAAATAAAAATTCAATTTTTCCGAAAAGAAAAGAAAAAACTTGACTCGTATAAAATAAAAACCCATTTTATATATACAAATGAACAACAACGACAACAACAACAACAATGGAAAAGTGGGAAAAAAAAAGGAAAAATTTTTCCATTCCAGAAAATGAAAATCTAACAAACAAACAAACGCACAAAAGCTTCAACCGAAACCTTTTTATGTATTAAATCCCATGGGGTAAACCAAAGGTGATATAATTTTAAATTTGTGTTTCAAACATCGATTTGTGTCAATTGTATAACAAACTAAACAACAACAACAACCAACGGCATACTACGATTCCATTTAACAATAATAATAATAATAATAATAATAATAAAAGAAATGAAAAACTTTTTTTCTTTTTTTATTCCCCCTTTTTCTCTCCTCTCTCTCCTTTCTCTCTCATTTTATATCTTTTTTTTTTTACGTCTATTAAATAAGTATCCGATAATGATGATGATGATGATGATAATAATAATAATAATGATAATAAATGACTGGACAATTATTCAATTGATATAAATTTAAAAATAAAAAGTTTTTATTAACGAAATCCCCGGTGAATGATAAACGGGGAAATGAGGGAAATGGAGGAAGGGGAAAGGGGGAAAGGGGTAACTAAAAAAATTATTTTTCGTCGTTATCAATTAATTAAACTTGTTTTTTTTTAACCGACTGATAACGTTATCAGTTAAGTAAAAGCTTCTTTTAAAAAAAAAAAAAAAAAAAAAAAATTTTTTTTTTATTAAAAATAAATTACGACCGATTATAATATGTACGTATCGTGTTTTATGTAAACGTCATCGTTGAAAAATAATAATAATGATAATAAAAAAAAAAAACGTTATCTATTAATATCGTTATTATTATTATTATTATTTATCTATTTTTTTTATCTATTAATGAATAGATAATAGATAAAAAAAAAAGGGATAAATGGGGGAAAATTTCCTTTTTTTCCTTTTTTTTTTATTTCATTCCAACAGCAGAAGGAAAAAAAAAAAAGAAAATCGGAAAGTAAATATTTATCCTATTGGATGGATAAGGAGGGGCGGAAACCCTTAAAAGCCATTAATGTCGATAAATTAATGGATAAATCACCAAATAAAATAGGGAAGAAGAAGAAAAAGAAGAAGAGAAGGAGAAGGAGAAGGAAAAAAAAAATTAGCTATTTTATTTTGAAAAAAAAGGAAAATGAAGAGTAAGTCGTGGGGATGGTTGGAAAGAGTTTAAAAAGGAAAAAAGTGAAAGAAAAAGATTAAAAAGAGACGAAATAGAGAGAGAAAGAGAGACAGAAAAAGTAAAAGATGACGTTTAAGAAAAAAAAAAAAGAAGAAGAAAAGAAGATGGAAAAGAATTTCAAAATAAAAAGGTTTAAAAATATACAAGTCGAAAGAAGGAAAACTTGGGGAGGAAAACGGGATGTGGGGTGAGAAGAGGGAAAAGGAAAGGGAAGGGGAAAGGAAGGGAAGAAGGTTTTTTTTTTTTCATTCCAGGGTTCGGGCTCTTTGTTTTATTAGTTCTCGATGGCCGCCTCTTTCATGTCCTGGAAAAGATAAGGTGAATTTCTCAAAAAAAAAAAAAAAAAAAAAACATGGCCTATTTCGAAGGCTAATCAACACAAGGGAAAAACACAAAACACACGAGGGCTACAATATTGATTTTTTTAAAAAAAAACCTTTTTTCCTTTTTTTCCTTTTTTTTTTTGTTCGCCTTTGATATATATCCTTTTCCGGTTTTCTTTCCAAAGGCAAAAAAAAAAAATAATAATAAAAAACGAATGAATCCCTCTTTTATTCATCCTCTTTTTTTTTTTTTTTTTCACGACAACGACTTTCGATTCGCGCACTCACACACGCACACACTCACGCATACAAACATAATAACAACTTCCGGTTTTACGCGGTTTTTATTTCCGCCGCATGTTTTACACTTAAGGTTTTCTTCTTCTTCTTCTTTATAAATTTTTCGTTTAAAAAAAGTTTTAACAAAATTTCAACATTGAAAAAAAAATGAAAAACATCTTTTTGTTATCTTATGTTGTCGTCTCTGTCGTCGGCGTCGTCGTCGTCGTCGGAGGCAACGGAAGGGAAAAAAAGGAAAAAAAAAAGGAAAAAGAAAAAAAAAAAGGAAAAAACATGTAATCCGTTTAAAAAATCCATTTTTGAAAACTTGTTTATGACTTTTCTTTTCTTTTTCTTTTTTTTACAATTTTTCATCTTTTTTTTTTTTTTCTTATACAAACTTTTTTCTACTCGTTTGTTTGTTTGTTTAAAAAATTCAACAGTGATTTGATTAATGACTAAACATTAACAAACATGACGATAATAATTAATAAAAAAATAAACAAACAAACAAATTGTAACTGGAAAAAATTTCTTTAAAAAATTATTTTTTTCATGGGTTCTATCGCCGCATCTGCCGCCGCCGCGTGGGGGGTCAAACCAATCGATAATAAAAATGATAATGATAATAATAATAATAATTATTATTATTATTAAATTAACGTACGACTAAACTTTTTTTTTTCTGACTGGAAATGTTCGTGGAAAATGTTTAAAAAAGTAATTTAAGTGTTTGTTTACCTCATAACAAACGACAAATCATTTATTCTATTGTTTCCCCGTAAGGTAAACATATAAATTTTTTGTTTTATGTTTACATTTTTTCAAACACAATAATGTTTTGAAAAAAAATAATTTCTTAGGATGTTTCAAAAAAAAAAAACTAAAAAATCTATCAATCGATTTCCCGGATATGAATGAAAAATTTGTTTTTCCGCGAAATCTTCAAAAAAAAAAACGAAGAATTTTCCGGTATAAAAAAAAAAAAAAAAATTTAGTTTTTGACAATGATTAATCACGACATCAAACTTAAGTTTTTTTTATCCTTTTCCTTTTTCTCTCTCTCTCGCACACTTTTCACTTTCTTTTTCTCTCTCTCCCTCTTTTCCTTTCTTATTTTCCACGGGATATAGATTTTTTTTAAAGAGAAAAGAAAAAACAAAAAAAAAAGTTTCCTTAATTTTTTTTAAAAGGTTCTTTTTGTTTCTCTTCCTCTCTTTTTCTTTCTCTCGCTCATTCTTTTTCTCTATTTCTTTCTCCCTTTCACTCTCACTCTCTCTTTTTCTCTCCTTTTACTTTTTACTGTTAATTAAAAAAAGAAAAAAAATCGATTGTAATTTATTGAATCGATTGATATCTTATAGAAATTTATAAAAATCTAGTAAAATACACGAGCCGATCGACTGCTTTTTAAACGAACAAACAAACAAAAAAAACGTTTAAAACGTGGAAACTGAAAAACAAACAAACAAACAACAACAACGGGAACTAAAAACAAAATTCGAGAAATTTAAATTTAATAGAGAATCGTGTAGTCGCTCATTTTTTTTATCTTCCTTTTACTTTTTTTTTTTTTAATGCATTTTTTCCAGACTTTTAAATTTCCAAAAAAAAACCAAAACAACAACAACAACAACAACAACAATAATAATAATAATAATAATAATAATAATAATAATAATAATAATAATAATAATAATAATAATAATAATAATAATAATAATCCAAATTTATTTCAATAATATAATTTTAGATAATTTTTCCAGTAAAAAAAAAAAAATTTACACAATTTTATTATAGTCAAATTTATTATTATTATCATTAAAATCATTACGATCATCATCATCATTATCATTATCGTGATCATTATTGTTATTAATAATAATAATAATAATTTAAAAAACAAAAAATTATCCGAACGTGATGATCGTTGTGAACAAACTCGTTTTACATATTGAAAAATAAAATAACTTGATACTTTTTTTTTTTTTTTTTTTTTTTTTTTTTTTTTTTTTAACGACGACTACGACGAAAACAACAAACAACAAACGAAAAAAAAACGAAATTGTTTAATAATAAAAATATTTAAAACAAACACTTGTAAAAAAAAAAAAAATTTTTGTTGAAAAAAAAAACCATATTGATTATATTTTATAATTTGATAAGAGTGACAAAAACAAAAACAACAAACGAAAACAAACAACGACGACTACTCTATGTCTGTTTGCCTTTTATTGTTTTCCTGTTGCTGCTTTTTTTTTTTTGTTCATTGATATTTAATTGATTAACTCGCGGATTTAAACAATATTGATCGTTTGTTATATTTAATATCGAGATTTGTTTGTCGCGAAAGATTTTTTTTATATCGTTTAAAAAAAAAACGTGTTTGTTTCCTAACAAACAAACAATATGAGCCGTACCCAAAAAATAATGATAATAAATTAACGTAAGAGACAATGATAAACCGACGTGACGATCAATCGGCAGGAAATCCAACTTTAAAAAAAAAAAAAAAATTTGCAAAAGTTTTTTTCTCAACGAGGTTGTACGAGGAAAAGAGAAAGAGGGAGTGAGAGAGAGAGAAAATGATTTAACGGTAATTGATTGGTAATCGGTTAGACTATGAAAAAATAAAAATAAAAATTTTTTTTTTTTTATTTTGTCGTGTCATTAATTAAAACACTCGATCGATTTATTGTTTTCTTATACAATTCAATGAATTTTCTTAATCGTTTCATTTTGTTAATTGTTTTGATAATAATAATAATAATAATAATAATAATAAATACACAAATAGTACTCAACAACAAACAAACAAACAAACAAACGAACGAACATCTTACGGATAAAAACTAATTTAATTTCATTCATAATAACTCATGGTAATATTTGCGAGTAGTACCTGTTTGTTTATTGCCTCCCTCGTTTTAATAAAAAAAAAAAAAACGTGTCAGGTAATTTTCTTTTTTTTTTTTTAACGATCAACGGTTTGATGAATTTCGATTAAATTTATTGTCACGTTATTTTATTTTTCAATGTTTTTATTATCGATAATGTCGTCGTCGTCATCGCCGTCATCGTCATCGTCGTGGATATTAAAAAAAAAAAAAAAGTTTTCCCAACAGCTTAATAAAAAGAAACTTGAGGTATTTCGTTTAACGTCGTCGTCGCCGTCATCATCGTCGTCGTGGTAGTAGTAGTAGTAGTTAGTTAATAAACGTCGTGGCAATATCGGAATTTATTTCTTATTCTCAGATAATAAACGCCTTGAAAAGAAAATAATAATAATAATAATAATAATTTTTATTATTTTACGATTAATTAATTGATTGAAAATTTCAAAACGATAATTTAATTGTACCTTGAAAAGGTAAAATGAAAAGAGAGAGAGAGAGAGAGAGGGAGGGAGAGGGGGAGAGAGTGAGCGAGTGAAAAAATAAAAAACGAATTTTACGGTTTCCTGCCATTTTTCATTAAAAGTTTACACGTCACGTATTTCAAACACCGTTTCCGTTTTGCGTTTTAACATTTAACATTTAAAAAAAAAAAAAAATGCGTGTTTCATTAAATGATAATTTAATTACAAATATCGAAATCCATCGATCGATCGATTTATATTTTTTTATAGGTACAGCGCAGGTTACGATCTTGCGGCGAGACGTAAAAATGCAACGCGGGAATCAACGGCAACATTGAAAGCATGGCTCAACGAACATAAAAAAAATCCGTATCCGACCAAAGGTGAAAAAATTATGTTGGCAATAATAACGAAAATGACTTTGACTCAAGTGTCGACGTGGTTTGCCAACGCAAGGCGAAGACTGAAAAAAGAAAATAAAATGACGTGGGAGCCGAAAAACAAAACGGATGACGATGACGATGCCATCGTATCAGACACCGACGATAAGGATAAAGATGATTTATCATACGATTCGGAAAAGGTTAAGGATCGTTTGAGAGAGGTTGATAAAGGTGAGTGAAAAGTAAGATACAAAAATCTATTTCCGGTTTTTTATTGTCACTAGTACCGCAGCCAATTGATCGGGGAGAGCGGGAAACTACCCTTAATCAAATTAATAGTAATTAAAAGAGAAATTAATGGATGATAAACAATTTTCTAAATGTGTATTTTCAAAAGGGTGAGAGAGAGAGAGAGAACAAACGAACGGATGAACGTGTTTGATTAAAGCAAATGAACGGTTATAAAAAATTCATGAGAGGGTCATATATATATATATATCGATTCAATTTCACCCGAATGAAAATGAAACCACCCTTACTTCCCCACCCACATAAAAATGGCCACATATTTTCCAACACAACTCACTTTTCGTTTGTTCGTAGTAGGCCGACACCGACGGAGGAAAAGAAAATCGAACGTTTGCAATTATGTGTAGCGAATATAAATGAAAAAGGGTACCACTTTGTTCCCGGAAGTGTAACCGTCGGTTTCCGAGGTTGTTTCCACCGCTTTTGTCCCTTTTAAACAACCAGCGGGATGCTTGTTTGTAGTCACGCGTCCATCATCGTCGTTTTCTTTCTTTTCCTACAAACACTACTCTTGTTTTTTTTTTTTTTGCAAAATGTGTTTTCTGAGAAAGAGAGGTCAATTATGTTATGCCACCCAAAAATATTAATAGGAATTATTATTATTATTAATACATAAAAATAATTACTTGATCATATTGATACAAACAACAACCCGAGGGATTTGTATGTTGACCGGAATTAATTGCTTTAACAGTTCGATCGTGTTTTTTTTTTGTTTGTTCCGCCTCGGGTTTAAATTTGCTACGAAGTAAAAAAAAAAAAAACTTAATAATAATAATAATAAGGAAACGTGCTCCAACAATTTAATGTACCTAAATTTCTTTTTTTGTTTTTTTTTTTTTTTTTTTTTTTTAACTAAATCATAATCGATGGCAAACACAAACAACAACAACAATTCATTTGTTTTCAACACCTTAAGATAAAATTCGTGTAACAACCCAAAAAAAAAAAGAAATTTTCATGTTGTTGTTGTTGTTGTTTTTGTATGTTTAACGAAGTGAAATCCGTTTGTTTTTGTTTTAATATAATTTTTTTTTTATTTACGATACAAATCAACAACAAATGCAAACAATAAAACGTCACGATTTCGCCAATTCGAAATGTTTGTTTTTGTTTTCTTTACGCGCGTATAAAAAAAAAAAAAAAAAAAAAAAAAAGAAAAAAAAAATTTGTCGATGTTTTCATGATTGTTTAATTTTCTTTTTTTTTTTTTTAATTTTGACGAAATCGTTTATTTATTTTTTTTAACGTTTATTCGTGAGTTACGTTTTCTAAAGACACGACACGACAAAAAAAAATTACGTTTTTTTTTTATAATTCGTTTGTTTTCAAGGGGGGGAAAAAAAATTTTTTTTGTATTTTTTTTTACGAATGCTACAGTAACAATCGCGGTAGTACTTTTATTTTGTTTTACTCGTTTGTTTGTTTGTTTGTCCAAGTTCAAAAAAAAAATGATAAAGTAATCATGGATTGCACAATACGATACGATACGAGAAACCGTCGCGAACGTAGATGAAATAATAAAAAAAAATAAAAATATCGCAAGGGATGAAAGATGGATCCAGAGAGAAAGGAAAAAATGATGGGAGGAATAGAGAGAGTGAGAGAGAGAGAAAGAGGGGGGAAGGGGGTGGAAAGGAAGAAGAGTCAGCATGGAGTAAAAGATTCACATTTAATTTTGTTGAAGAATAATAAATTGGTGTATTTTATGGAAGTTTAACTTTATTACCCAGATGGGTTGGGTCTCCCCAATATTCAATCAAGTCCCTCCAAGAGAGGGAGAAAGAGAGAGAGGTTTACTCATTCACTTTCCAACCGCCCCCACGTCACACCAATGATTTATCTACCCCTTTCTATCTCTCTTTTCCTCCCTTTCTCTCTCTCTCTCTCCGCATGAATTTTATTTTTCCCTTTGTTTCGTTCAAATGTTTTATTTCAAGTTTTATAAATAAATATTTTTTTTTTTTTTTTTTTCAAAACTAACTCTTCTCGTGTAAATCATCATTATTATTAGTATTATTATTAATAGTAGATAGAAAAAAAGGGAAAATGAAATAATAGTTCTTCTTTGTTTCTTTTAAATAGATTCCATGCATCACGTTAAAATGGAAAACAGAATCATAGACAAAGATTTAGACGATGATGATGAAACGGATGAGGATGATAGGAAACCCGACGGTTTGACTTTGACGCACCATCACATTCACCACCATCACAATCACATGCACCATTCAATCATGGGGGGAATGAAAGAAGAAATGAAAATACAAGATTGTGGAATACCCATACCGGCGACGAAACCAAAAATCTGGTCATTGGCAGATACGGCAGCGTGTAAAACGCCACCGCCGTCGCAACAGCAATCCTGGTTAATGCCAAATAATGGTTCGGGTTCGGGTCCGATGATGGGTTTAAATAGTTTCGCGTTGCCCTCGGCCACGAGTTCGTCGGCGGCGGCGGCAGCGGCATCATATTCACGATATAGTGGTTTTTTAGGACATTACAACGGGAACAATCATTCGACGATGGGAAACTACAATACTCCGTCTGGATTCCCGGAAGTTCAGACGGATACACCACCTCAAACTCCTCCTAACATGAAATTACCCAGTGTCGCGAATAACATAATAAATTCGAACTCTTGTTTTGGAAGCAACAACAATAACACGACGAGTCATCATCACAACCAACAGCACCAGCACCAGCACCAGCAGCAACAACAACAACAACAACCACAATCGACGTCTTATCATCATAACGTTTTCGTTAACAATTTTAACCGGATGCAAAGCAATCAACAACAACAACAACAACAACAACAGCTCAGCCCTCAAAAAGATCGACACAACGATTATCAGCATCAGCAACAGCAGACGATGAGGACGACGACGGGAAATCCTCAACACCAACATCCGGTTAATCCAAACGAGGGAACGACGGCTTTCAAACCCTTTTTCAAAAAGTAAATATATCAAAAAACTTTTTACAATTATTGTTATAATAACATTTTTTTTTTTTTTTTGCGGTAATTGTGGCAAACCTGACGGAGTCACTCTCTTTCTCTCTGTCCGAATTAAATCCCAATTTCATTAATTAAAATCATTTAATGGTTTGGAAAAAAAAAAAAAAAAATTTTTTTTCTTCTCTTTTCAATTTTTCAGTTCGCCGCCTTTGAACAATGGTTTCGTGTCTCCAGTGTAAGAAAATGTATTCGGTTCAAGTCGAGTTGGTAGATATTGCTCGCAGGTAAGAGATAAATTATTCAACTTATTCTTTTATTTGATTTTATCGTTTTAAAACATCGCTACAAACAACAACAACAACAATCCCTACAAACATTTCATTTTCGAGTTTTGGCAACAACGATTAAAAAATTTCAATGCAAATGATCACACAAGACAAGTACAGACGCGTACGAAAAAAAAAAAAAATTTTTTTCGATTACGTTTGTCATGACGACGTGGAAGAAAAAGAAAAAGAAGAAGAAATTAGATAGATACCCGTCGTAAAAAAAAAAAAAAAAAAATTCGGCGGACTGCGAAGGAAAAATTTTGACACCGCGTCGTGACGTAAATTATGTATAAAAAAAAATTCTCATCGTTTCCTATTTTCCGATTAAATTAATATTATTATTATTATTATTATTATTATTATTATTATTATTATTATTATTATTATTATTATTATTATTATCATCGATAAATTTTCCGTTATCATTTTTTGTTGTTGTTGTTTTTTTTTGACAAGTGTATGAATGTTTAAATCGAAATTAACATAATTATTTGTGCGTAGTAGTGTCGTAAAAAAAAAAACAAAAAAAACGTTTGAATTTTGTTTTGTTTTTTCCATTTTTATTTTCTCTGTGACTATCATCGAATTGGATAAAATCGATAAATCGATAATATCGATAATTGCGATATTTATATATGTACGTGTCCGTACACATGAATTTTACCAATCGTTGATTGTATTCGGAAAAATTAAAAATCAATTTCACACGTGTTTTGTGTTTATTTTTTTCTATGTCACGTGATTAAATATTTTCTTTCTCAATCATTCCCCCCCCCTCTCTCTCACTTTAATTATAGTTTATAGGAAATTTTTTTTTTTTTTTTTTTATTCTTTCGTCGAATGAAAACATTTTCAAATCGTTTGAATATTTCTCACGGGCCGTGTTTTTGTTATGTTTTCACGTGTTAATAAATTTTCTCTATGGCGAACAAAAACATTTGTTTGTTTGTTCGTTTGTTTTGTTTTGTTATGTTTTATCACAAATTACATTTCCCCTTGACGTGTGCGAAAAAAAAAGTAAAAAAAAAAAGAAAAATATTCGTAATATATATATTGACATTTGATTCGTTTGAAAAATATAACTGACCTTTGACCTCTATCGTTGTTGTTACCGTTCGACCTTCCGAAAATTATTATAATAAATTTAAATTTTATGTAAAACGTAACATGCGTTACATTCCGATGATGATTTTTTTTTTCGCACCGAAACATCCGCCGAAAAAAAAAACAAACCTTCTAGAATTTTCCTTTTCAAATACGTAATAAAAAAATTATTATTATGTTGGCAACACTACCCCTCGATCGATTGTGCGTATAATAAAATAATAATAACACAAAGTCAATTTTTTTTTAATTTAGTTATGAATGAATCTTTTTTTTTCTATCTCTTTCGCGCTGTTGCTTGTTGTTGTCGCCATTTTTACTTTATTCGATTAACAAAAAAAAAAAGCAAAAAATTAATTTCGAAAACCTAATAAAATAATAATAATAATAATAATAATAATAATAATAATAATAATAATAATAATAATAATAATAATAATAATAATAATTTAAACACGAAACTCGTATGTAAATTTAGTGTTAATAATTTTTTTTTCTTTTTTTTAATTTTCGGGATTTTTTCGCCACCGCCACCGCCGCCGCCATCGTCATTAAATTTCATTTCTCCTTCTTTTTAACTTTCTTTCAAAAGCTATTAATTTAAAAAACAACCCTTAAATTTCATCGGGTGGAGGAGGGGGGGAGAAAAAAAAAATAATAATAAAAGGGTTAATTTTATTTTTAAAAAAATTTTTTTTATTTTACCCTCAACAAACGCTAAACACGAAACACGTAAAGAAAAAGAAAAAAAAATTTTCGCGTTTTGGTTTTTATATATATATATGTACGTTGGCAGCATTGAAAAATATATATAATGCACGTGTTTTTTTTTTTCGTGGGAGGGAGGAGGAGGAGGAAGGGGTGGAAGGGAGGAGAGTGGTAGGGGGAGGAAAAAGGTAAAAAAAAGTGAAATTTTAACCGGAAGAAAATAAATCGACGTTCCGGATTATAAAATAGAAAAAAAAAAAACATGTGGTTTTTCTTTATCGTAACAAAACTTTTTCTTTTTTTTTTAAAACTTATTTATATATGTAAAAAGAAAGAGAGAGAGAGAATGAGAGGAAGGGAGAAAGGAAGAAGGGGGTACAAAGAGAGAGAGAGAGAAAAGAATAAAAATTCGTTGTGTAATTAATAAAATTTTTTTTTTGGAGGGGGTGGCGTCGGGTGTAAACTCTTAAAAAATTATCCATGTCTTGGAGAGTGAAAAGAGGAAGGGGAGGAAACAGGGGGTCACGATGAAAGATAATTTAAAAGAGAGGAGAGGGGGGAAAGGTCATTTCGAAAGGAAAAATTTCTTCGATTTTTTTCTTTTTTTTTTTTTTAAATCTTGATACCGAAATAAAAACAAATGATACCTGTATATATTTTTCCAGTTAAAAAAAAAAAAACTTATGAATGAATTTTTTTCTCCAGTTCCATCATCATCATCATCCCCTTCCCTCTCCAAAATTATTTCAGTTCTAACTGAAACCTCTAATGACTTTTTTTCTCCTAATAATGATGATTTTTTATTTCGTTATAAAAAAAGTTTCTTTTTTTTTTTTTTTTTTTTTTTTTTTAAGATGGAGTCGAACGATTAGTTTTATTTTATTATTCTTTTTTTTTTTTTTTTTTTTTTTCAAAGTTGTTTTCTAATGAATGAATGAATGAATGAATGAATTTTTAAGTTTCGAAAATATTATTATCGTTCAAAGATTTAAATCGGGGGGAGAGGGAGGGGGGATAAATTTTTTTTTTATTTGCATCATTTAAACGTAAATTTTTTTCTTTTTATTGTTGTTGTTTTCTACGTACTCATTATCATTATCATTATTATTATTATTATTCCTAGACCTTATTAAAAGGAAAAATTTGGAAACAATGTAAATTTTTTTCATCGGCATAATTCTAATGACACGATTCATTCAAAACGTGAAAATAATATAAAACTAACAAATAATAAAAATCGTATTAATGACGTACAATCACAACATCGAAATAGATTTTTAAAAAAAAAGAATGATTGATTGATTGATTGATTGGATCGATTAGCGTTAAAGCACGTTCATCAACACAGTAAAGTGAGAAAAAGTGAATGAAAATATTAAAATTTTTTTTTTTTTTTTTTTTTTTGCTTTCAGGTATTCATCGTTCGAGAGAGAATTGTGATGATGTTACTAATGATGATGATGATGGTGATGAAAACAGGGCTGCAAACCATTTTCTTTTTTTTTTTTTTTTTTATTCACAAGAAGTTTTCCAACGTGACCACGATGATCGCCGATCAAAAAAAAAAAAAAGAAGAAATGATGAAGAAAAAGAAGAAGAAAAAGGAGAAAACCATCACCCAGTGATTTGTTGTTAATTATTTCACTCGGAAATTAAAAAAAAACGCCGCGAAGTGAAAAAAAAAAAAAAACGCTGCGGATTTATAAAAAATTTTGTTTTTATTACGATGATGAATGATTACGTAATGATAATAATAATAATAATAATAATAATAATAATGATAATGATAACGATGACGAAAATGACGACGGAAAAACAAACAAAAAAAAAAGAAAATTATTATTAACATCATCATCATCCTTATTATTATTATTAATTTTTTTTTCACACACACACGAGCTTATTATTATTATTATCATCATTATCATTATTATTAATTTTTATCATTATTGTATAACAAACAACCCGAGGGGAAAAGTGCAAAACTAAAAAAAATTTAAAAAAAAAAAAAAATACACAAAAATATAAAGTTGTAATTATTATTATTATTGTCATTATCACTTCGAATTATTATTATTAAAATTTCTTTTTATGTACATAAGAAAAAAAAATATCATGAGCGGATTAAATAAATAAATATAAATATATTATATATATATATATATAGATGAAAATTTGTTTGATTATAAAAATTGTACTTAAATAAATAAATAAAATGAAAGAATCCATAGAGTAAATAAATTTCTTTTTTTTTTTTTGTTTTGATTAATTAATGAAAATTAATTATGTATAAAGAAAATATATAAATAAATTAATAAATATTATTATTATTATTATTTTGCGTCCATTTTTTTAATTTTAAATTAATTTTAATTCGCGTTCGTTCGTTCGTTCGTTTGTTTGTTTGTTTCTTATACGAAATTCGCTTTTAAATTTAAACGTGTGGAAGAGAGAGGGAGGAGGGAGGAAAAAAAAATTAAATTTCTGAACGCGCATCCTCCGTGACGTTGACGTCATATAAACAATATTCGTATAAGATTTTAAAAAATTTTTTGTTTTCCTATTTTTCCTCCCTCTCCCACCATTCCTCCTCTATTTTCATTCCCCCCCCCACGCCGCCACCGCATCAAACGAAAACGACCGTTATCTATCCTTAGGGTTTATTATCATCAATACACGCGTTCGTTTTTCGCACGCGTTCGTTTTTCGCACGCGTTCGTTCGTTCGTACGCACGCGCATTCCTTCACGTCTTCAAAAACGATTTCAGGTTGTTGTTGTACTCGTTGTTCCTTTCTTTGCTCGAGGGACCGAATAATCGATTTTTATTTAATTTTTAAATAAAAAAAAAAAACTTTTTGTTGTTGTTGTTGTTGTCACGTGACATCACAAAAGGGTCGGACGAGTGTGTTTTTGTTAATTAAAGTCCGCGTTATTGCCACGCGTGACAATTATAATATTGCTACCACTTTTACCACAAGGAAAAACCACTTCTGACTACTACGGTCACCGCAAGCAACGCCGAATCGCCGACGTTTTATTATTATTATTATTATTTATAAAAAGAACAAAACGGAAAATTTTTTTTTTTTTTTTGTATTAATTAACGTCGTTCGTTCGAATTTTTCAAACAATTTGGTTGTTTGTTG